AAGTTTTTAAAGTTCATTATTTATTTTTGAAAGAGGGACAAACAAAGCATGGGGGGGGCAGAGAGAGAGGGAGACACAGAATCTGAAGCAGGAACCAGGCTCTGAGCTGTCAGCACAGAGCCCGACAGGGGTCTCAAACCCACAAACTGTGAGAGCATGCCCTAAGTGGAAGTCCGACACTTAACCGACTGAGCCACCCAGGCGCCCCTAATCTACATATTTCTAAAATGGTTCCTATGTGTGATTCTGTGCCTGTTGAGAGCCAGTGAAATAGAACTACCTAAATCAACACAGAATATAACTTTAAAAATAGAACACTGAGTGGGGCGCCTGGGTGGCTCAGTCAGTTGAGCGGCCGACTTCGGCTCAGGTCACGATCTCGCACTCTGCGAGTTCGAGGCCCATGTGGGGCTCTGTGCTGACCGCTCAGAGCCTGGAGCTTGCTTCGGATTCTGTGTCTCCCTCTCTCTCTGCCCCTCCCCTGTTCATGCTCTGTCTCTCTCTGTCTCAAAAATAAATAAACGTTAAAAAAAAAAAAATAGAACACTGAGGAAAAACTTTTGAATATGTATGGAGTATTTGGGTGTCATAATAACTGACGGCATTGGTGGTGAGCAGTGGTAAGGATGCTAGACGTTCAGGCCTGGCCAGTATGGTCTGCACACTGCATGATTGCCCTTTATCCCACATGACTCTCAACCATCCTTTTATGACTAAGGTGAATGTAGAGTAAACAGAAAGTACAATTGTATCCCATGTTTCCTCTGACCTTGAGCTTTCTGAGGATTCTTAGAGAAACCAAGCCAATCAGAGTTACAGCTTTATGGCATAGCCTACGATGCTCAGTCTTTGTGATTATGACAGCAGATATGTGTGGTATATGCAAACCACTTCCTAGATAGGCTCACAGTGGAATGACAGGATAGAAGAAAGAGGATTCTGTTCCCCTGGAAAGGAGTTATCACTGAACCTCTGAAATGGCCCAATTTTTCAAAAATTTTATACCAATATAACTATCAATAACAAAATATCCAAGTAACAGTGGCCCCAGTAATAGGAACGTTATTATATCACTCAACAAGGAGTCCACATCTTCTTCCCTATGCACCTCCTCGTGATTATAGATGGCTACACAATTACAGTACATCATACCCTTCCATCTACACATCCTGGGGGAAGGAAAGGAATAGTGACACAAATATGTCCCCTCACATGTCTCTCTTCTTTTTTTCAGGGGGAAAATAATACCCAAAAGGCCCCACAGAAATAATCTCTTTATATTCTATTGGCTAGAACTGGTCACATATTTACCCCTGTCTGGAACTGGGTAAGGGGACAGGAACTACCACTGGCTCGGAATACTCTGGAACTGGGTAAGGGGACAGGAACTACCATGTCTGGAACTGGGTAAGGGGACAGGACTACTACTGGCTTGGAATACTCACAACTCATCCCCTGGGTTTGGGATACTGCTGCCTGCACAAAACTGGGTTCTTTAGGTTTTTGATAAGGAAAAGGGTTACGTGATTATCAGACCTAATGGCATATCACAATTTTTGCCACCAAGATTTCAGAGATTAAAACTATTAATGTCTGCATTCATGAAAGAAAGAGAAGGAAGTTGGCACTTCTTTCTCTCATCTTCTGCCTCATTGCTATAAATAAAGGAAAACAAGTTGAGTAGAATTTTTCAGAAAATGGAACCATATTGGTTACAAACTCTTAAGAAACCTGATCCAACGACAAGGAAACCTGAGTGTGCTACCAGGATTTGGGCATATCACTAGGGCTCAGTAGGCACCCCCCCCCCCCATAAATTAAGAAAGATTGGATTAGATGAATTACTAGTAGGTCACTTCTCGTTGCAAGTTTCCATGAGGCTTTGAATCATCAGCTAAATTATACATGATGGTTTTAAAACTAAAACTAATTTTATAACCACTTTGTAACTTATAGCCAAACCTTGTGCCCTACTGATCCTGAAGAATTAATGTGGTTTACAAAGCAATTTACTTTAAGGTAAAGAGAGTAGTTAGGAGAGATTCAAGCTCATCATTCATATTTGTAGTTTGACTAGCATAATCACACTCAGATACTTATAGTGAATTTATCAGGGTAGAATGTTTTCAAGTCAGTCTTCCCAAAAGAGTGTTACCAAGTGGTCTGGGAAGGAATGGGTTCTGAGGTAAAAATAACTTTAGGAGGTGCTGGGTTAATCATGATTAAACAGATTTCTTTATCACTGAATTTCTCAGAAATGTATAAAGTTAATGTGCATGATGAGTCACCAAAAGAGATATATTATCTTTCAAGTTCCATTTTGACGATATATTCTTCTTTCATGAACACTTAATTTTCCCCATGTAGAAAATAATCACATCACCTTACTTGTATAGAAGGGTTCAAGTAACAAAATATTTTGAAAGCATCATGTTTGCAATATGAAAGGCTTTCCTCCCCAAAATTCTTTTTAAACTACTTTTTAACAGTTCTGACCAGGGTGATTATAAGATACCAATTTAATAGCACTTATCTACAAACAAAAAATAAACATGTTTAAAAATACATATAGAATTGTCACACATACCAATTTAATAACTATTAAATGATACAAACACTGCCTTATTAGTACTGTGAAAGTACAGTATTATAGGCAATGCACGCTTTTATTCCTACTGTTTTGATTTATTTCTCGGTGATCATTTTCACATCACCTTTGTAAAATATTTCATACAATAAAGGCTCGGGGAAGCATACTTGGAGAAATTTTCAACTACTTTTCCAAATCTGTTATAATACATTATAGACACATTTAAAATCATTTAAAAGAAGAAAAAGCAGGAAGACGGCAACAGTAAAGCGCAGTAAAGTTTTTACTGCTTATAAAAATAAGTCAGTCAAGAAGGGATTCCAGGCTGGCAACATTCTAAAACTGTTAGCAGGCCAAAATCTCAAATTGTAATCTTTGTAGAAGGTGAACTGCATAGAGTGAATTTTTATTTCTTTATCATGCTGCTGGTAAGAGAGGGGTATTGCCTACCCAGAGGAACATCTTACTGCCTGGAGCACAGCAGAAATGTGAGTCACAAAAAACACAGCAGACTTAGGGGCAACGGTCAGAGGGCAAGCCAGACTCCATTGGTTTAGTAGAAGAAAGAAGCCTTTAAAAAAAAACAACCAACCAATTCAACCCCCCAAAATTGTACAAAATATCTTTCTTACAGGTGTCAGTTCTGAGTATAAACACATCACCATCTGCCAGTGAGCATATAGTACCAGAAGTGGCTTCGAAGCCCTTCGAATTTCAAATATCCTAGAACAAGGAATAGTGGAACGTTCAAGATATAACCGTGTCCCTATGACAGAGTTGTAAATAATAATAACATTATTAATAATAATGATATGAAATGTTTGTTACGTAGATACTCAGATGTAATAGACATTTGAGTACTCAAGTTCTTGAGAACTTTGAATGGGGTCATAGGGAGTTTTCTAAGAGCGATAATTTACACATGTGTTATGGGCAGGTAGGAGAAGACAGGGAAGTTTGGGGAAGCAAAAGGATATAAAACCACAGTGGACTGGCAACTGGACACACCCAATTTGTTTGCAAGCTGGAATGTTGTTATTTTCCATTTAACAGTGAGTTTTACATCCCTTTAGGTTATACCTTTCTAATGAGGAATGGTTTAAGTTAAAAAAAAAAAATTAAAGGTATGTTTTCTTGACTTTGTAGTCTTGCCAAACTACCTACGTAGACAACATTGCCATCTAGTGGCCTAAACATACCACAGCCACCACTTTTAGGTTGGGAGCAGGGGTCCTGACATAGGTTTGAGGGGGTGCTCAACAGATGCAATGTTAATAGTGGTACCCAAGCCACACCAAGAGCATATAAACTCATCCAGAGAAAACATACTAACAGTTAGAGAACCCACTCTGGCCCCAAAACTTTACCAGCTAGCTCCACAGAGAAAAGGACCACCACCATTGAAATAAGTGTATGATCTGCCTCATTTATTTTCTTCCTTTGAACTTTTAAGATCCATTTCTCATTCCTTTGTTCACCTACCTGCTTGAAAATATTTTCCAAACATTCTTTCATCTTTATAAAAAGGATATTGCCCTATATCACCACGACCACGTAAAGAATCAAGTATCAGGTTGCCAATGATGGTCAAGAACTCTAGAGGGATGAATGAAAGGGACAAGGGACATTTCTGTACTATCTTTGCAATTTCCTGTGAATCTAAAAAAAGGAAAAAAACACAACAAAACACCTCTGCAGGGGGTCAGTCTAAGCCTTTAATGAAAATATAGAATTTGTCTTAGAAAGTACAAGAAAGAGCTAGGCTTAGGTCTAAACTGATTAAGATTTAAGGGACAGGGAAACAGGAAGAGGCTTACAAGAGTGGGGTAGAGACAGCTTCAACTGAGGTTGCCAATATTCTGGAGATAAATATTCTTAGCAAGCTCCCTTGGGGACTTTTTTTAAGTTAAAATCAGATACTCCCTGCTTCTCCCAATTGACTGGAAGGCTTATATAATCCTTTGCTTCCACAACCAGGCCACCTATGGCAACAACCACCAACATGCCAAAAAGGCATGAAAAGGTATGGAGAACCATGCCCAGGACTAGACCATTATCAGATCACCATTGATGGGTTCTTGCCAAGCCCCATCTTTGACCCTGCGCAATTAAGATCAGGATGGATATGAGAGTACCAACAAAATAGCCATTAAGTCTTTGTTAGCCCATATTTGATGAAACAAGGATAGAAACACAAGAAGTGCGTTTAGATCTGTTTGACTAAAGGAACGGTGGGAAAGCTGGAAGAGGCAATTTTCAGAAATCCAAATATGTGCTTCTCCAAAATTTGCATCAAAGTCTTAGTCATGCCCATGCAAATGGATCTTAGTTCAAATTCATGTCAGAAAAATCTGGAACACACTTACTTCCTCTATGCAAATCTCCTAGGAAAGCAGCCGTTGGGTCTTACCTATGATAAAAAGGATTTCCACTGCAATGTCACTGACTGTTGTGCTCCGCGTCGTGGACAGATCATCGTTGCCAATAAAGCAAACGTTGTAAGGTACAGTCACGGCAACATAAAACGTCGCCAATAGAATAAGCCAGTCCCAGCCAGCTTTAAAAGTGCTAAAATGCAAAAGTATGAATTTGGACTTTTTTGCATCAGAAACTTTATACTCCGGAAATGCTGGTTTATCTACAAAAACATTCTGTGGATAAAGACAAAAAGGAGAGAAGGGAGACACAACATTAGAAGCAAGGATCACACAGCCTTAAACACACTTCTGTGAGGAGCATATTCATACACACAATGCCAATGTCTCTTACAAGTGACTTTTGGGAGGTGGTGATGCAAAAAGTAGAGATGTACACACTAAAATCGAGCGGAGATCTTTGTTATAAGTAACAGGAATGTGCAGAATTTAGTCATGAATGTTAAGCGAGTAATCCAGATTTTGTTCACGAAGAACAAAAAGATCATTACCTAAAACGTCACCTACAAACATCCACAGTTACAAGTATAATCTTATATACACTGGAAACACAAACATACATTTGTATTCCTATTGTCATGGAGACATTCCACACACTTATAGTTTTGAGACAATGGTCATCATCCAAAGGATATGTTTGACCTGAAATTCTTCTAATAATACCAAAGCTACCATTATTTTCCCAGAGAGGATAGAAATATATGTTCATCATTCTATGGTTAACGCGACTTACATTTCTTCCAAAATATAACCAGGTGGTGCTAACTACATGCATTTTGCATTGTGGTTTTTGGTGAAGTTTCAAGCTGGGAACCTGCATCTCACACCCTTGACTGGCATGGATTCATCATGACACTAGCTAGCCCTTGGTAAGACGGCAAAGTGAGAAACAGTTACTTAAGAGTCATTCAGGTCATAGGAGGAGAAAGGCAGTGTTCGCTGTGCAGCTGATTAAATGCAGGAGAACTGCTGGAGTTCTATAACTGCAAAAGCACGTCACTTTGAAAGCAGTCCAAATTGATGAACAATTCTTACTGTTAGGAGACAAAAGGAGGCCCAACAATAGCGTGTGTGGAAATTTGACAAGCCTACGGCCAGGTACTTGCAGACCTTGCTTTGACCTCAATTAATGAGAAACACAAGATCGGTAATGGAAACTTAAATTTGAAAGTTAAGTTGAATGAAGTGAACAGTTAAAAGTTTTAGAATACATGTTACTTGCAGGTCATGGTATGTTTTCTTGTTTCAGCCAATGGGGAAAGAACAAGTTGATGGGGTACGTTCAGGAATTCCTGAAATACTAGAGGATTCAAGGAAGGTCAGAGCCATCAGGAATACGTAGCTCTTTAGTGGCGAATGTCTGTGACCAAATATTTTTGCTGCCTTAATATTAATGCACCCCCTATCTTATATCTCTCCTTGGTAGGCATTCCCACCCAACACAGGCTTCTACTTCCTATTACTATTCTCACTCAGCTCACACAGGCACCTCATAATGCCAGGATTTCATGGTAACGGACTGCTATACCACTTCTACATGGTCCTTCGACGCCCATCTGCCATTACATCTACGTTCCATTCAGTTCCTTGGTATTTGACCTGCCTCCTTCACCTCATTCTCTGGTTTCTAGAAACAAGTTTAAGGGTGGGCTTTGGCATAAAACTGGGAAGAGGAGAGTGAAGTATACCTGTTGGGCTTCTTATTAAGGTGTAGGCAAGTGCATAGGAGAAGGGAGGGTTAGGGTTAGTAAGTATTAACTACATGAAGGTTGATAAGTACTTCTGTTTATAGAAGGACATGATGGATTCCCATATAATTTTTTTTTTCAAATATAAAACAGTAACAGAGAAGCCATGGGGGAAGACCTCAATTTCTATCTGAGGAAGTCTTTTGCTACCGTATTACAGAGATTAAAATTTTAACTTGTTTGAAGTTGAGGCCAGCTCTAGGAGTGAGGGTTGGGAAAACTCAGGAAGTATTTTCTTTTGATTACGCTGATTACATGAAGCATTAGTGAGGCCGATACAAAAAGTCAGCTATGTATTACTTACTTTCACAAGTCAGAAAATAAATGACACTATTTCATCTTTATAGGTTATTTAAAACACATTTCTTAAGATTTTTTTT